CCCCTCGCTCAGCCAGTGAGCGGCCGGTCTGTATGTGGGATCTGAACCCTCGGCGGGAGCGCCACCGCGCTTCCCAAGCGGCGTACTATAGCAGTGCGCCACCGGGCCGGCCCAGACCAACAGATTTAAATATAACAAAGTATATTATAACAAAGTTCATTCATGTTGATTTAGGTTCAGCATTGCAACTTACCAAGTCTTGATGTAGTATCAAAAAAGAATTTCTAAAAAGGTTATTAAAATATTCCTCTATTTCCCAATTACATGTTGGTGTGAGGCTAGATATTTTTTTCATATACTTCAACCCAAACAATTGAATGCAAAAGCAAATAGAATACAGCTGTCTTCTGTTAAGTTAGATAGTAAAGAGATTTTGAACAATAAAAACAATGCCACTTTTCTCACTAATTTTGTTTTTAAAAGTAACTTTCACAAAATGTTAACATGAAATTGGGTTTATTATTACTTTAAATGAATTAATAAATATTGTAAAACTTTTTCAGTCATTTTAAATTTCTAATATGGTAACTATTGACAGATATAACACGTAGAAATACATTTTGAGGTCCTCAAAAATGTTCGAGTGTAAAGAGGTCTTCTACCGAAGGTTTTAGGAACCATTTATACAGAGAATTTGGAAGGCACTAAATTTTTGTTCTGGATACTTTGTCTCAGACATATGAACAATTATTTTGTGGGAGGAAGAAGATCAGCAAAAATGTACCACTAACTCACAACAATTTAAGTAAAAACTCCCATGTCTCGTTAAAAAAAAAATAGGCACCCTAAATTCAACAGAGCTTAACTGAGGAAAGAATGATTTACAAATCAGGCAGCCCCAGAACCAGAACAGGTTCAGAAAGACTCCACCAAGGCAACATTGTAGAATAACATTTATGGAGAGAAAAAGGGCAGTGACATCCAGAAAATGGAAGTGAGGTACAGAAACAGCTCAGTGTATTACAACCCAGCCTGCGTTATGTGAACCTGGTTTGAATGGTTGGTTGCCCGTGATGGACTAAAGCTCGGCTGCTGTGAGTGGCTGAGACTCAGCTATTTGTTACAAAAGCATACTCCTAAGTTAGATTTTTCAGTTGTTTATATCTAAGGTTAGGTTGCAGTCTCTTACCTAAGGACATGTGTATGGAAGCCTACTCAGGCCAATTTTAGTTTGATTTAACAATCTGAAGTTCTGTTGCCTTGTACAGGTAAAAACGTAATAGGTATGGGTTGGATAAGATATGTCTTAGGATGTTAAGACCTAGGGATGGATGAAGAGATGGCATCTTTTGATCCAAATAGCTCATGTTTAGCATAAAAAGTTAAAATGTAAATCAAAGAATTGTCTGAAGTTTTTCAATTGGCTGGTGCCATAGCTTGTGTGTGAAACTGGATCTCATTGCTCCTAATTTAATGAATCAGTACTAGAGGCTGATAGTTGTAATTGCAGCCTGAGACTCAGAAAAGAAGTTAGGTTAAATGTGAAGGTTTTGGATGTATCCATGGCTACACAGAATAATCCAACTTATGAGAATCAATGAGAGGACAGTAGAAAGCCAAAGTGGGGCAAAAAGAGCATAGAATGGAACTGTGGTTAATGCTCACTGAGAGTAATTTAAGAAATAGAAGGCCAGGAGAAGAGTGTACTAATTTTTGAATACCCACAATGTTGTACGCACTACACTAAGCTTTTAACATAATTTAACACATTCTATCATCGTAACAACTGTAGGAAGTAGGTATTTCCTCCATTTACCAACCAGGACATGAAGGTCCAGGCTGGTGAAATATCCTTCCAGGATCCCACAAACAGAAAATATCAAAGATGGAATTTGAATTTAGATCTTTCTTATTCTGATTCCCTTCGCCTTCAAGGAACTTGCTTTCACCTCTGATTTTAAATTATGCTAGTCTCTTCTCTAGTCTCTCATAGGGTGGGGAAAGGATGGAAATGCATGGATGTGTAGTCAGTTTTTATATCCATCCATAGTCAGAAAACATTTCACTTTTGCTTTATGGATCACGAATTACAAGCACAGTGGGAGAAACGACAAATGTGTTTTTCTTTAATAAAGAAACCCAGTTGTTCTAAATGTTCTCATTGCTTGACCTATTAGCACAGGAACAGTTAAATGCCACTAAGAAATAATCTATGCTCCTGCATTACATATAATAACCATGCAAGTTTACAGCTGGAAAGTTGTGTTCCCCTTGGTTTCACAGCTGACACTTGGAACCCCACAATTTCCACTCTCCTTCTAAATTATGTTATATGTCAGAGTGCAGAAGTTAGATAATATATTTCAAATTATAATTTAGCATTTGAAAAGTACCAAAAACCTAAAAATCAGGAAGCCCAAGGAGTCTGATTAAATGGGATGAAATTTTACTGTGAAATTTAAGCCAGCATCTTAAGAGTTGAACCACCTAAGGCAGAGTTCAAACAAAGGCTGAAGCCATGGAGGTTTGTTGGGGAAATTGACTAACTGGGTCTCCCCAGAGGTGTGAAGTCATCAGGCCAAGGTAACCTTCAAGGAACTTGCTTTCACCTCTGATTTTAAATTATGCTAGTCTCTTCCCTAGTCTCTCATAGGGTGGGGAAAGGATGGAAATGCATGGATGTGTAGTCAGTTTTTATATCCATCCATAATCAGAAAACATTTCACTTTTGCTTTATGGATCACGAATTACAAGCACAGTGGGAGAACGACAAATGTGTTTTTCTTTAATAAAGAAACCCAGTTGTTCTAAATGTTCTCATTGCTTGACCTATTAGCACAGGAACAGTTAAATGCCACTAAGAAATAATCTATGCTCCTGCATTACATATAATAACCATGCAAGTTTACAGCTGGAAAGTTGTGTTCCCCTTGGTTTCACAGCTGACACTTGGAACCCCACCATTTCCACTCTCCTTCTAAATTATGTTATATGTCAGAGTGCAGAAGTTAGATAATATATTTCAAATTATAATTTAGCATTTGAAAAGTACCCAAAACCTAAAAATCAGGAAGCCCAAGGAGTCTGATTAAATGGGATGAAATTTTACTGTGAAATTTAAGCCAGCATCTCAAGAGTTGAACCACCTAAGGCAGAGTTCAAACAAAGGCTGAAGCCATGGAGGTTTGTNATGGAGGTTTGTTGGGGAAATTGACTAACTGGGTCTCCCCAGAGGTGTGAAGTCATCAGGCCAAGGTAATGCTTCCCAGGGGAGTAACCAATGTGTTGGGGGGTGAGAAAAGGGAATGGGGGGGGCACGGAAATGCATGGTACTTTACAGGTCGGCCCCTGGGGATTAGGTTGGCTACTACCCGGCAAGCAATAAAATTCTTGACCTCTAATCACATACCCCAACACCACACTTTGTGCGACATGTTGAAAGCATTGCTTCCAGTTTATTGGACTTTTCGAGTTGTAAAGAAGTTCACAGAAGATCCTTGGAAGGGGAAGGAAGAAAAAAAAAAAGAAAGAAAGAAAGAAAAGAAAAAAGAAAAAAAAAATCTGTTTTGCCTTATAACAATTTCCGCGGACTCTTCTAGGAGAAAGTTACTTAATTTGTAAATTCACTCTCATTTTTTCCTAAACAGTGCCACCTACTGACCATTTTAAGTCATCAGAAGACTTGCTGCCAAGGACCAGAGAAAAAGAAAGGGGGGGAAAGTAACCAAGAAAATGAACTCAGCCCAGACTTGGGGCATTGGAAGAAAGATTGGGCATTGGAGAAAAGACCATCTCCAAGCAAGAATAAGTGTTTCAATTCGTTGTGTTCGTAGAAGGCTCGCGCTATTTCTAGTCCTCCAAAAAACTACTTATATTTTTAATACGCGACGTTTGCGTATTTTTACTTTAGGGCACCAGGTTGAGAAAAAAAAAAAAGATTACTTTTTGTATTTTTTTTTCTTTTGCCCACCCACGACGGAAACTTCTGCGTAAAGTAAGCTTTGGCACAGCTCAGAAACTTCTGAGATCGAGGGAAGAAAGAGTTAACACGTGGTCGATCAGCCGCGGCCGCTTTAGAGTCCCAACCGGCTTTTGGAGGCTCCAGGTACACACGCACACACACGCACACAAACACACAAACGCACGCGCACACACAGACACAAGCACACACACACACGTGCACACACAGGCACAAGCACACACATACGTGGACACACAGGCAAAAGCACACACACGGGCACACACGCGCACACAAACATGCACAAACACACCCGTACACACACACATATGCACGCACGAACACACACGCGCGCACACACACACACACACACACACTCTTCCCAACTGACCCTCACCAGGGCGGTTACTTAGCCGAAGGGCACCATTTGGCTTCAAGACAAATCACTACAACACGACCGGGAGTTTATCTGGAAGAGGGAACTTATCACTCAGGCCTTCAGGGACATCTACAAAGCGAGGTCCCTCGGCACCGCCGTGGAGGAGAGCAGGGAATCAGGTGGTGGCCGGCGTGCGTGCACTGCATTTCTCTGCACACGTTAGCAATCAAGTTAATTGAATTCATTGGCGTTTAGAACCGGCCTCTAGCGGACAGAGGGCTTTGAATGGCCAGTTGCTCTCTCTTCCTCTCCCCCTCTCCGCCTCCCGCCCGCCCGCCCGCGCTCCCAGTTCCCTCCCCTCAGGGTTCCCCAGTCCACACCTCCCTTCACCCCCCTCACCCCCCACTCCCTCCTCCGCCCTATTAAAATACCCACCAGCTCACTTGTTAAGACCCCCTTAAGTTGGAGGAGGCAGAAAGGCAACGACAGCGAGGAGGGAGAAGGCAAGACGTCTGGAAAGAATTACCCAGTCCTGGCTTCGAGCAGCTCATTGAACCGGGGACTTGAACCAGCCCCAGCCAAAGACTTTTCTCCCGATTCTGCGCTTCCCGGGTTCTGCTGAGTCTTCACCGGGCTTTTGCTGATAGGAGAAAGAGACGTTCCGTTATCGGTGCAGAAGGACTGGAGCACACGAAAAAGTTAATTTATTTTGAAAGCACAGATTTCTTTTTTTTTTTTTTTTTAAGAATTGGAAAAAACTGAAATACAACAAAAATAATAAAGAGAATATTGGTAAAATTTCCTTTTAAAGTAGGGGAGAACCAAACATTTGAAACTCCCCTATTCTTTTTAAATGTTGTTTTTAAATTTTTTATTTTTTTTGGCCGGTCGTCTCAAATTCATCTGATCTCTTATTACCTCAATTTTGGAAACTGCCCGCCACCGACTCTCCGGGACCACACAGACAGGCTGAGTACGACTTTATGATCAAGAGCTGAACAAGGTACGTGACACTGGCGCGTTGTGGTGCACGATGAAGGTCCTCAAATAGGCCAGGGAGAGGGAAGATGTTATCCATGTAAGTGTTAAAGAAAAAAAAAAAATTGAGTCAGTTTGGATAGAAAAGTTTGAGGTCTGAACATTTCCAACAGGCTGAAAATCAGGGACTATTTTAGATCCCGGTCAGGTTTAGTCTCTGCCATCCCTGCGGCTCTCGCCAGCAATCCGCGGGCTTTCTGCGGACACAGGTAGCCTCCCTGCCTGGGGAAGGCTGCATGTTTCGAGATGTACTTTTCCATTCTGCAACTTCCGGAGAGGCACGGGGGCTCCCGAGTTGGGAAACAAGAATTTCTACTGTGTGTAAGAAAAATGCTTTCCACACAGTCGTCCCGTTCCCCTTTACCTTCCCAACCCTTCCCTTCTTTTTTCCCCCCGTACACACTGTGGAGAGAAAACCCCGGAATAGCTCAGCGCGTTTTACTTTCAAGTGAGACGCTCGCTTCTTGCATGGAATGCAAAGGGTTAAGCGCTCCGAGCTTCCAGCCCGGAGGAGCTGAGACCCCCGAGAAGGAGGGTTCTCAGCTCTTCGCCACCTCCTCGCCGCTCCCGGCCTCGCTCGGCCACTCCCCCCTTTCCCGGGCCTCCCTCCTTTGCACTTCCCGCACCCCATTAAAGTGTCAAGCTGGGTCTGAGCGGGCTCAACTCCGCTCCAGAAGCCTCACTCGGGCCAGGGGTCCCTGAAGCAGGCGGTGGTACTCGTAGATGGCAGCGGGAGGAGGGCGCGCATCCGTCCTCTCCGCGCTGGGCCAGCCTGCCCGCCGCCCGGGGGAAGGGCGTGCGTGGGGACCGCGCGCTGCGCTCGAGCAGCTGCAACGTCCCGGAGCCAAATCCAACGTGGCACCGAGCACGCCGGCGGTTCCCTCCACAGCTGCAGCTGGGGGCACGGCCCGCTGGGGGGTTTAGGGGCGCCGTCCCGAGCGCCGGCCCCGGGGTGGAGGTGGGAGGGCAGCCAGAGGCTGGGTTGGGATGGATAATCAACACCTTGGGCGGAATTCGTCACACTCGTTCCCGCCCAGGGTGAGCCTGGGCTCTGAAATGGGTCCCTGTGAACAAGAGGGCGGGTCTGAAAGAACGGTCTGTGTGACGGTGAGAACCGGGAGGCGAGAGGGGCTTTTTCCTCCGGCCAAGGAAACGCAGCCGAGGGAAACGGCACTGAAAGGATAATTAAGGCTGGAGAGAGGCAAGGGGACAGAGAGGCGGTGCCTGGGGAGGAGGGCTCACAGGACACGGGTCCTATTACACAGCCGTAGGTGTCAGTTTCCCCCGGCGCCTCTTCCTCCATCCTCCAAATGTCAGCACCGGGTACTTGGGCTCAGGGACAAGGCGCGCCCCTGGGGCGAGGGCGCTGGACAGACGCGCTCTCAGAAGGCACTTGGAGAAGCTCTACTGGCCCCTCCCTGCCCAATTCTCCACCCTTTGGGGCCGTGGCTGCCTAACGGGTCTCTCTAGCAGCTGCCCAGAAACGCTACATTCCTCCAACCCACGTGGCTGGGCTGGGATTGCCTTTGACGTCACACCCAGGGGGAGGTGTGACGCAATAGATCGGGAAGCCCTGATTGGCCACAAAGGGCTTCCCCCGAACTGGAGGCCTGAGTATATGCAGACTTGCAGCCCAGTGCTAAAGCCAAGGAGGCTGTAGATGGCCTTTGCCGAAGAAGGGAGGCGAGGCGGCTGGTGAGGGGGGACAGTCTCACTGCCTTTGTATGTTTCAAGGCTTTGGCTCAGATTTCTCTCTACCGTGAAGGTGTGGGATAATGGGCCTTTGGAGCTGTAAAACCAGTTACGATTTTTTAAAAAGGTCATTTTAATAAAAGCTTTTTTAACGGTTCACATATTCAAACGCATGATGCCAATTTAAAATTAAAACTATTTCTATAGAATGAGCTGGAACGAATATCTGTGTCCATAAACCTATTTGTAAATAAATTTTAAATTTTACGGAAGAACTGGGTTGAAAAGAACTCTTAAATTCTAAACTTTTTCTTTTCCTTCAAATGTGTGGAAGTGACTTATTCATTAAATTAGTCTTCACTACATTTTTCTAGAGGTTTAATAACATTACTCATACAGCCGAGGTACTGTTTTTTGAATACCCATCAGACTTCACTAAAGGTTTTCCTAGTAGTTTGGCTATTCCTCTACATTTTCAATGATAGTTTAATGCTTTCATATACCCATTGTGGTATGTATATTGTGGTGTGTATGTGTTTACAATTCTGGGACAAATAATTCTGAATTCTAGGTGGACGTTTCTGGAGTAAAGCATTGTAACTAGAATATCATCTCTCCTATTCACTTTTCCTTCATATTATCGGAGTCGGATGAATCAAAAATGTATTGTAGGTATATTGACAAATGCACATCACCTGAGTTACTTCTGTAAGGGGTCTTCGAAAAGTTCATGGAAAGATTTGTATTATCTTTTAATTCCATTTTTTCATGAGCTTTATGAAGTACCCTTGTATTGTACCTAGAATTGAATCCGTACTTTACCAAAAGAAGTTACACAGCTTATAAAAAATGAAGGACTTAAGTGACTAGTATCAAAGTTGAATGTCACTCTCCACAAAGCAAAGATGAAAATTAGTCAGCTAACCTTCCTGGAAAATAGAAATTGTGCAATAAATGAATACGAAACTATTACTAGAAAGTAAGTTAGCTTGGAACTAATCATTTTTGTTAGGTCTATAAAATATAGTTCCACAAATTTAAATTTCATAAATACTTTTGCACTCATGGTTTCCTTACCAGCTAAGATTTCTTTTAAAACCTTTTTCTAAGAAAAATTTTAAACACATACCTTTCACTGATTCATTTACTTTCTATTATTGGCACTGTGGAGAATGCCCTTTGTAGATGGATTAAGTTGGACATCCTCTTTGGCAAAGTTGTATTACACAATTATCTTTTAAATCTAACAAGTAGTTTGTTACATTATTACCTTCTTGGCTCTTGCATCAGGTGTGACCCGTGAGTTAATGTAATGGGAGAACAGAACATAAACTCCATGTCTTTTTTTGGGGGGGTCTCCTTTTTATCCATGAACATTCAGGCTGTGTTCCTTTAAGAGGCTGTAAGGACATAGTTACTAGCTGCTGTAATGACAGCTGAACGGGGGACAGCTCCCCGTATAGAAAACTCATTTCCATCACCCCAACTTGGTCTTAATCCTTTCCTTTCTAGCAGCCATCTGCAAAGAATAAGTATCATCCTATTGCATAAAGCTTTATATTATTTAAGTGTATTCTGAATGTTATTTATGTGGAGCTCATATATACATACTGACTTGCCCACAATCTAGGAAAACGTTACTGATAATGAGTCAGTTAAATGTTACAAAGTCTAACTGTTAAATATTTTATGATTTAAATTAAACAAATATTTATTAATGAATGCTTCTCACCTGAATACATCGGTACTGCAGGTAATTAAAAAAATGAATTAAAAGTGTACTTAAAGTAGTCTTTAAGTAGTCATACTATAAGTTAAAATATGATCTGGCCCATAAGAAATAATAACTATTGTTTATCACATGTCTGGTATATTTTAGGCACCAAAGTAGACACTTTGTATATACTATTTTCAATACTAACCTGCAAAGAAAATTTTATAAATAAGGAAAGTTATGCAACTCATTCAAAGTCACAGTGTAAGTAAGGGATATGGATGGAATTTAATTCAAGAATTCATGAATATAATGCTCTTGAAATGCACTATGCTGCAAATGGATTAGTCAGGTTTTAAGGGTACTCAAATTGCGGAGAAATCACATCTGACTGAGAGAAATCAGGAAAGTTTTCATGTCTGAAGAGACAGCATTTGTGCAACATTTGGCTACATGGGGTTTTCACCTATAGAAAAAGTTCCCAATAGTCAATGTAGGTATGTATGGAACTATGATTCTATGTTAAGTCTTTTTGTAATTTTTCTCTTTCACTATGAACTAAGTTTTGGATGGTGAAGTTTAGGAGCCAGTATTTGGGAGAATTGATATTTTAGGAGTAATTGATTAATATTGATGGTGCAAAAGAATGGAAATCTGAAACCTAAAGCTTTAAATCCAGACACAACTGGGGTGACAAGGCCTTTAAAAGGTTGTGACCTAACCTTGCCAGCATGGCTCCAGGGTCTTTGCTAGAATAACTGCAGTGGTACCGGATGGAAAAAGGCAGACTTCAAAGCCAAAGAAGGAAGGAGAGGAGATCAGATGGGAAGAAGAGAGAGGGTCTTCATGCTCTGTGTCCCAGCAGGTAATGTGCCTCAGTATGAAGATTGTTGGAGGGGACTTCATTTGGTTACTTCTATCTCAGGTTTCTAGTTGGGGACAGTAACAGAAGGAATACACATAAGTGAAGTGTATCAATGCAAGTGAGGTCATAAAAGTCTTCTTTGACTTTAACCCAGGGGTTGCCAAACTTTGTTGCCTATTTGACTCTCCTGAGGAGATTTTAAAACTTTCAATGCACTGGTCACAACCTGTATCAATTAACTCATAATGTTGTGGGGCTTACACATCTGTAATGTTTACAGATCCTCAGCTAATTTGGACATACAGAAAATTTGGGAACCACTACCTTCAACGTTTTGCTTATCATACTTTCCTAATTCACTATTAACAGGCAGGTGGTTCGCACGTGTATATATCTTATTACAAACAAGCAGGTTTCCATACTCCTTGATAGTGTTACCTGCCTAGATTAATATACCAAATTCTAATTATTCTACATATGATTTAAGCTGTACTCCCTCCTTTTCCTATACATCATGAGTTTATAGGTAAAGAAAGCCTGTATTCCAAAACCAGTTCTGATATTTATCAGATATGATCTTGAGCAATGCCTTCATTAAAGAAACATTCTTTAAATGTCTCCTATCATCCTTAGTGCCTTTGTGTGTTTAAATATCAACTACAAGTTAAAGAGACACTGACCTAGTCTTCGGTGG